GCTTGAACCCTATGAGGACAGGTTGAAACACATGTCCATTCTATTGCCTTTGACCTTGCTGGCAAGCATATCCTGTAGAGGCTGGGGTGTTTCACCATGGAGCCAGGCCCACACACACGTGGCCCAGGAGTCAGAGAAACTGCAGGGGAAGGCAGAGCGATTGCAGGCCCAGTGGCTGCTTCATGCCAATGAGGTGAATCAACAAGTCAGCAATGACATGTGTGCGCTACAAAATCGTTCCTATCTCCTTCGTACCCTCTAAATCTTGCAAGAGTCTCCTTTGTGACACCCTAACTGGAAACATAGTAAAAAAAGAATTCCACGAAATGTAGCTCAGCCTGCCAGGGTGACATGTTACAAACTCTTGCACATGTGTGCACAGAGCTTCAAAAACATGAAGCAAAATCTACAGAACTAGAGGGAGAAAAATACAAATCCCCAACCGTAGCTAACATTTTTTTAAAAGCTTCTTTCTGGTTATTGATAGAGTGAAAATACAAAAAAATCAGTAAGGGTGTAGAAAATTTGAATAATTTTCTGGCGTAATCAAACAACCTGACCTACTTGGCCTATGTAGAACATTGCATCCCCAAGCTACAGAAGACAGAATACAAATATCGAATACAGAATACAGAATGGGTTTTTGGTCATAATGGAATTAAATAGAAACCAAAAGCAATAAATTATCTAGAAAATCTCCAAATACTTGGAAATTAAGCACCACTGAGATCAAGGTCAGACAGGAGATTAGAAAATATTCCAAACTGAATGATAGTGAAAACACAATGCTATGGACTGAATGTTTGTGAGCCCCCAAATTCATTTGTTGAAATCCTAACCCCCAAGGTGATGATATTAGGAGGTGGGGCCTTTGCCAGGTAGTTAGGTCCTGAGGGTGGGGCCCTCATGAATGGGATTAGTGTCCTTCTAAGAAGAGACATGAGGCTAGCTCCTTCACTCAGCTCTCCACCACGTGCGGATACAAGGAGACAACGGCCATCTGCAAACCAGGCAGGAGGTCCTCACCAGACACTGGATTTTCGGGCACCTTGATCTTGGACTTCAAGCCTCCAGAACTGTGAGAAATAAATGTTGTTTTTTGAGCCACCCAGTCTATGGCATTCTGTTATAGCAGCCTGAACTGACTAAGACACGTGATGTATGAAAATCTGTGGGATACAGTGAAAGCAATCTTTAGAGGAAAATTTGTAGCTTTATGTGTTTATTAGACAAAAACAAAGGTACAAAATCAGTGATCAAGGCTTCCACCTCATAAAGTAGAGAAAGAAGAGTGAATAAAAACCAGGTAAGTTGAAGGAAGGAAATAATAAAGATGAGAGCAGAAATCAAACATTAAAGAAAACCGACAAAGCCAAAATTTGGTTTTTGAAAAGATTAATTAAATTTATAACACCTAGCTAGACTGATCAAGAAAAAAATCAGGGAAAACACAAATTATGATATCATAAATGAAGACAAAGTCATCATTACACATCATATAGACCCTCAATAGGTAATTAGAGTATATTACGACAATGTTATGCCTATAAATTTGACCTTTTAGCTGAAACGGATAAATTCCTTAGAAAAATACCTGTCAAAACTGATGTAAGAATGCACAGAAAACTAAAATTGCCCTCTATCAAATAAAGTGAATTCCTAATTTAAAATCTTCCCACAAAAAGGACTCCAGGCCCACATGGCTTTACTGGTGATTTATATGAAGTATTTAAGGAAGAAAAACACCAATCTCACACAAACCTTTTTCAGAAAATGTATGAGGAGATTATACTTCCTAACTTATGTGGTGGGCTCAGCATAACTGATTACCAGAGAAGATAAGAGAAAATTATAGAACCCTCATAAATATAGACAAAAATTTACAGCAAGATATTAACAAATAAAATTCAGCAATATTTAAAAAGATAACACAACATGATAAAGTGTTGGTTCAACATTTGAAACCAATCTATGGAGTTTAACACATTAAAAGAATAAAGGAGAGAAGTCATATACCATCTCAATAAACGTAGGAAAAGCATGAGACAGAATTCAACACCAATTCATGATAAAAACTCTCAGCAAATTAGAAATAGAAAATAACCTTTCTGGTCCGATAAAAGACGTTTTTGGAAAGCCCACAGCTGAGATTATACCCAATGGTGACATTTATACATCATCGGAACAAAGGAAGGAAGCCTTCCTCTCCAGTTCTATTCATGGTTTCACTGGATGTCCATCCTTGCCAGTGCAACAGTGCAAGAGGAAAGAACAAGAGATAAAAGGCACACAGATAGGAAAAAAGAAGTGAAATTGTCTTCATTCACAAGTGGCAAGATTTTTTATATAGAAAAACAAAGGAATCTACAAAAAATCCTACTAGAATTAGTGTGCAAGCAAGGCTGCAAAACATAAAGTCAATATACTATGCTAACACAAAACTGTTGGAAAATGAAATTTTAAAAATGTCAAATACAGTACAATAATACAACAGTTAAGAACAAGTTTAATGAAAGAAGTACAAGACCTCTATATTGAAATCTATAGGAACACTGCAGACAGAAATGAAACAGACCTAAATAAAAGGAGAGCTGTATCACTGTTCTTGGACTGTAAGACTCAATAATTAACTAAGATGTCAACTTTCCCCCAGTGGATCTGTAGATTCAACGCAATTCCAATCAACTCCAGGAGGCTATTCTGTCTCAATTAACAAACTGATTCTGAAATGTATATGGAAATGCAAAGGATCTAGAAAATCCAAAATAATCTTGTAGCGAAAGGATTAAGTTGAACTACTTCATTTCAAAGTTAATATAAAGCCACAGTAATCGAGTCAGTGTTGAATTGGTATATTGATGGAACAGATCAGAGGCATGTGCTGTCAATTGATTTTTGACACAAGTGGCAAGGTGATGGAAACAAAGAGAAGATTGTTCCAGAGGATTTCCTCCATGTAATTCAGTGGGGGGAAATGAACCATGTCACTGAACCATCTATTTGCATGAAAAAAATGAACTCACATCCCTAGTTTACACCATATACAAAAATAAATTTGACGTGGATCATAAACCTAAAAGTAAAAGCCATAGCTATAAAACTTCTTCAAGAAAACACAGGAGAATATCTTTGTGACCTTGGGGTAGACAAAGATTAAGCAGGACACAAAAAATTCTAATCAGAAAAGAACAAACTGAAAAATTGGTCTTTATCAAAATTACAAACTGCTTTTCCAAAGACAATATTAAGAAAATGAAAAGGCAAATCACAGATTTGGAGAAGATATTCACAATATGTATAGCTGACAAAGGATTTGTTTCCAGAATACATATACTCCTACAATTCAGTAAGGAAAGGGCAGCTAGCCCAAGGAAAATATGGACGAAAGACTTGGACAGACACGTCACGAAAGAAGATATATATGACTATCCAATAAACACATAAAAGAAGTATCTTCACCAACAGCGTCAGAGATATGCAATTAAAACTGCAACGAGATACGAGTTCAGAGCCACTGGGAGACTAAAATTAAAAAGACTGATAAGACTAAATGGCTGGCATGTGAGGCAACTTGAACTCTCCCATACATTGCTGGGGGGATAATCAAATGGCACAACTATTCTGAAAAATCATTTGGTAATTTCTAGTGAAATTAAACACCTACCCTAAGACGCAGCAAACCCACTTCTAGGTATTGACTCAAGGGAAATGAAAACATATCCTCAAAATTACTTGTACGAGAATGTTTGTAGCAGCTTTATTCATGACAACCCAAATATCCATCAACAAGAGAATGGATCAATACATCGTGGTACTTCCATACTATGGAATACTGGTCAACTACAACAATAACAATGGCAGCAACAGGAAAAGGAACACACGCTGGATACAGTCAATAAAACGAATGAATCTCGAAAACCTCACGTTGAGCAAAAGAAGCCAGACACAAAAGTGTACATACTGTGTGATTCAATTCATATCAGTTCTAGAACCGGCAGAAGGAAGCTTTGGTGATAGAAATTAGATCCTTGGTTGTCTGGAGTTGGGGTGAGGATTAATGTACATGGGTGAAAGCCTGTCTGGGGTAATGGAAATGTTCTGTATCTCGATTTTGGGGGTGGCTACACAGGTGTACATTTGTCAAAGCTCTTACACCTAACCATACATTTTAAAATCTGTGCTTTGTTGTATGCAACTTGTACTAAAAAGTTATACTAAAAAAACCCCAATACTAGCCAGGCCCGTGGCCTAGTGGTTAAGTTCAGGTGCTCTGCTTCGGTGGCCTAGGTTCGTGGGTTCGGATCCTGGATGTGGACATATACCACTTGTCAGCCATGCTGAGGCAGGCATCCTCAAGGTGGAAGAAAATTGGCACAGATGATAGCTCAGGGCGAATCTTCCTCAGAAAAAAAAAAATCCCAACGCTGTTGGTGATAAATTAGAGTGTTTGCCGAACCTTGAGCGGATGGAGATCCTGCCTCAGCACAGTACAGAGATTAATCGTGCGCTCCTCAGGCTGGAGACGGTGTGAACGGGTAATCTACCTTCTCTCTTAAAAGCACTTAAATAACAATGGATAAAGGAACATGTTTTCTATTATTAAAAACAAGTACACATGTCAAAACCCCCCAAATCTCCTTTAGTAACCTGTTCGATGACAGTTCCTTCACCGTGGCAGAAGGTCTGCCTCAGGTCTAACTTGCAGCTCTCATGCTGCGTCGTGCAGATCTTTCCTTTCGTCCTTTGGTAAATCGCACCTTTCCCAGGTCTGGACGTAAGTTTCTCCTGTGATAGGAGAGCGCAATCTTTCTTGGGCAGTTTTAAGTCTGGAGTTTGTAACTGTGCAGGTAGCCCCTGGTCCAGCTGCCCCACAATACTCTTCTGAGGCTCTTCCTAGTGACGTCATCGAGAGCTTTGAAGAATTTGGTGGGTGCATGACCCCGGGGCACTCCCAGGTGCCTCGAGTGTGTTGACACTCCCTCTCCTTTCCTTCCACTCAGGAGATGCTGAAGGACGAGGTGCGGACGCTCACTTACCGGAACTCCATGTACCACAACAAGCACGTGTTCAAGGACAAAGTGGTGCTGGACGTTGGGAGTGGTACCGGGATCCTCTCCATGTTTGCTGCCAAAGCGGGGGCCAAGAAGGTGTTCGGGGTGAGCACGGCACTCCCTCCCTCACGCTGGCCTCTGCAGAGCCAGCCCCTGCCCTCTGCCCTCTGCCCTCTCCGGCCCTTCCTATGAGCACAGACCCTGGTCCAAATCTTTGCTGGGCTCACACTCTTGAGAAGAAAATCAAGTGTGATTCTTGGGGTGGGGCAAGCCCCCACGGCTCCCTGTCACATGGGCATTGCTCCTGGCTCCTTGCCCTGGCAGCCGCTGACATTTGTGGAGGATTTTTGACTTTTCAGAATCCATTCTGGTGTCGTCATTACCTCACAGGGCTTGGTCCCACTGTCAGCGTGAGAGGCAGTGTGGTGTGGTTCCACGTGTGAGCTCTGGTTTGAATCTCCGCTCTTCCACTCACGAGCGGTGTGACCGCGGACAGCTCACTTCTCTGTGCCGCACTTCACCCATCTATAAAATGGGCATAGTGACAGTGCCTTGCCCATGGGGTGATTGTGAGGAGTAACTGAGTTTAATACGTAGGGAAAGTGCTTAGAACAGTGCTTGGCATATGACAAAGGCTCAGGGTTTATTAGCATATTTGGGATGGGGCCCTAGGAGATAATAACAGGAAAATCTCCTTCGTTGGTTATTTAAAGGGCAAGTTGGTGGACTGAAATTCTCCTGCTCTGGCTGCTGCAGCCTCTCCCGCTAGAGGAGAAGGCTGACCCTCTGGGAAACCTCTCAGCCTGATGACCAGGGGCTGGGAGTGTCAGGAGCTGGGAAGAACCTGTGAGAAAGAAGAGTTGTGAGCTGCTGGCTGACATTTGAGAAATGCAGTGGATCCAGGGCTGGAAAATAGGAATTAACCTTGATCAAAATGAAAGGCATCCTGGAATCAAGCTTGGAGCATGTGCACAGGGCAGCCCATGTGCAGAGGCCCATGGGAAGCCGAGTACCCTCCAGTGGGGTTTCACTCTCCATGACTCAGTTGGGGCATCCTGTAGCCTGTCCTGAGAGCCCCAGGCCCCGGGGTGGCTGGAGCCCTCCAAATCCTCTTGGCTCCAGCCTCAGAGGCTCCAGCAGGGGCAGCGTTTGCCCTCCACGTCTGGCAGGGAAAGCACTTGGGCCTTGGCTGTACAGGGTCTTCTGGAAACCTGGGCTGTCCTCAGGGCCCCTCTGGCATAGCTGTGACCAGAGAGGCCATGAACTCAGGCACATGCTGAGGGTACGGGGCCAATCCCGATGCCCAAGGTCAGGTCCTGTCCTCATCACCGCACTGCCCCTCCCCACCGTCCGGCTTTCCTTCACAAGGCTCTCCTCACCAGGATGGAGGCCTCTGGCAAGAGACAGACTCCACTTCCAATGAGGCCACAGAGCCTCAGGGCTGGACTTGGGACCACCTGGTGAGCCCGAGCCTTCTCTCCCAGTACTATCTCTGAGGCCCTGTCCCTGTTCCATCTTGGCTGGGGGGACGTGAGTAGCTGAGGGCTGAGAAGGAAAGGCAGGGCTGCCCATCACTGGTTTCCAAGTCGCCGGGGGCTCCAGCCAGGGAGCTGTCAGGAGGCTCCCGCTCCGCGCCTTCCAGCTGTGGGGACGCGACCCCATCTGTCTGCTCCCGCTCTCTTGCTGTAACAGCTCTTTTATGAACAGCTCTGCCACGCTTAGCTGGGCTTCTTTCCTGGTGGGATGGCTCACGTCACATTTTCTCCTGTTCCAGGCTCCCCGCCACCCACTGCTCCTCTCAAGAGAGGTCGATGGGAGGGCAGGAGAGAGAGAGAAGAAAGAGGGAGGGAGGGAGGGAGGGAGAATGAGGGAATTGACTTGGACAGAAATGGAGACAGGGAAACAGAGAGAGACAGACAGACATGGAGAGAAAGAAAGACTCAGAGCAAAGCTAGAGTGATGGGAGAGAGATCAACAAAAGAAGAAAGAAAACAAAGCAGAAAGTACAAAAGAAACAAGTGGAGAAAGTGAAGCGAGAATGAGAGAAGAGGGAGAAAAGGAAAAGTAGAACATGGCAGGAAGAAAAAGAGGAAAGAAATGCTAAGGCATTCTCACGCCGTGGCCTGCCTGCTTTCAGGGGATGTGCGCTGCTCATTTAATCCCCACAACAACCCCGTGAAACCAGGACTTACTTAGGAGGAAACTGAGGCATGCCTAGAAAGGGGCAGAGGCCAGCTGCCTGGCTCCAGATCCCATGTCCATCATGGCTAAACTCAGCAGCCCCTTGCAGACGGCAGGGAGGGGGAAGAATTGGAGAGAAAGAGGGACCTGCAGACCACGGGATGGAGGCCACAGGACCTTTCCACAGCCCAGGAAAGGGCTGGTGCTGCTGGGATCTGAGCCCCAGCCAGGGTCTGCCTTCTCTTCTGGAGGGACCCCACAGGTGCCCTCACCCATCCAGAGGCTTTGATAGAGGCGGTCAGCAACCCCCTCAGTGCCCCTATGCAAATACTCCCCCCAAGGCGCTGGGGCAGTCTGAGGTGGGCCGAAGGGTGGAGGTGAGGGCAGCCTTAGTGCGGGCCGGCCTCGGTAGGGGGCCAGCTAAGGAGTGAGAACAGCTCCTGGCAGCTGCCCCTCTCTTCCCAGGGCCCTGGGCCCTCCCCCGGCCTCCCCCGGCCTCCACTCCCGGGCTGGGGCTTGTCTCCTGCTATTCCCACATGGTCCAGCCCTCAGCTGAGGTCAACCGACTTCTCAAACGACTTGGCCCTCTGCTGAGGAGATTTTCGGGAGGCTGGAGAGACTTCTAGATTTAAAAGAATCAGTTCTCTCAAGGGTGGAGACTGCAGAAGGGGTGAGAGTTCATGCATGTGTGTTGGGGGAAGGATCTCAAGCCTGGCCTGAGGCATTTTCCAGATGGCCCCTGTCCTGCAATGCGCCCCATTTAACCAGGGAGGGTGGGCTGCGGAGCTCTGGCCGCGGCTCTGCCTTCCCCCATCCTCTCCTGGGAGGCCAGCGGCTGTGCAGCCTCGGCCGGTTCTCCGCTCAGAGCCTGGGCCTCTGCCACAGAGCAGCGCCGGGGGTCAGTCTCCCGCCGAGGCAGACCGTTTAGTGGGAGAGCCGCTGCCTGCAAGCCGGGAGGGCTGTGTTTTAGTTTCTAATCTGCCGCAAAGCAGCTGCCCGGCTGTGGGCAAGTCGCTGTACCCCTCTAGGCTCCTCCGTCCGTGAAATTGCTGTTGGACCTGCTGCAACTTTTTGACGCCTTGCTCCTTTGTTCTGTGCCCTTTCCAGATTGAATGCTCCAGTATTTCTGACTACTCAGAGAAGATCGTTAAGGCCAACCACCTGGACAACAGTGAGGCGTGCCTCCGTGGCTTCCCCGTGGGGGGTGAGGGGCTGGCACTCCCTTGTTTGGGTGGCACGGACTGACAGGAGAGGGAAGAGAGAGGAACACTTGGCCTTGGGGAGGTGGAGCCCAGCTGAGGCCTGGTTAGCAGGACTGTGGCCATGGGGTTCTGAGGTTCCCAATCCCTGCCATGTCAGCCAAGGGCACATTTGTCCCAGCTCAGCCTCCAGTGAGCCCAGCTTGTGAGTAACTCCTTAATTCCATGCCCACTGCTTGGTCCCAGCTGCAGGCCATCTTTTGAGTTTGCACGATGGCAGCTCCTCCTCCTCCTCCTCTTCTCTCTCCACAACCTCCAGCCCTACCTCTCCTGCCACCCACCCAGCGGCATCCGAGCAGGCCTCTGCCTTTGGAGAAATGCGGGCCTCTACTGCCCAGAGGCCCTGTTGCTTACGGGGCTGTCTTGGCGATTGGGTTGCTCTGTGGGGTGGGACCTTCTTCAAGCTGGAGTCTGATCATGCAGAGCCGTGTGTTCGCTTTGCTCCTCCCCTCCCTCCTTTCCCGCGCACTGCAGCCCCCCAGCACCCTCTCTGCAGCCCATCCTGAACGAACTCACGCCCGCGGGTGTCCTGATTAGGAGACCTCCTGTATCTGTCACCAGTTGGTGGGATGAGGTTCGGTCCCCAGGCCCTGTGCTGAGTGGGGCCAGACCAGGGGGAGTTTCTAAACTAGGAAAACAAGGTTGGACTTTTTTCTAAGGATGATGGAAGCCTTTTGGATAATTTTAAGCACAAGAGGAGCATTCTCTATGAAGAATGGGTTGGAACGGGTTACAGGCAGGAGCACGTAGGCAGAGACATCTTAAGAGGATAGTTCAGTGCTCCAGGGAGATGTGAGGTCAAGCATTTACCTTTTGGAGGTCAAGTAGAGGAGAAGGTGCTAGCAAACAGGCCGAGAGGATATACTCAGTGAGCTGGAGGACATTCAGGAGAGAGGAGGAGCAGGAAGCCGAGGGAGGGAGGAAGTGGTCAGCTCAGGGGATGCTGGGAGATCAAGGCATAAGCACAGAGCAGGGACTACTGAATTCGGCCACATGGAGGTTACTGGTGTTCTTAACAAGAGCAGACTCAAGTATAGGATTGGGGACAGAAGCCCAGTCAGAGCGGGTTAAGGAGAGATCGTGGAGTGAGGACTATAAGTAACTCTTCTTGTGGTAAGCAGAAAAACGGACCAGGCCCTGCAGGGGCATGTGGGGTCAAGGAAGGGAGCTGGTGTTTCTTAAGGATTTTGTTGTTAGTGCCGTCAAGTCGATCTGACTCCTAGGGACCCTGAGTACAACAGCAGAACCTGCCCGGTCTTCTTGCGCCATCCTCTCACCTTCCAGCGCTCTATCAGACAATGCTCCGCTGCTTTTCAAGTGGTTTTCACGGCCGATTTTCTCAGAAATGGGTGGCCAGGTCCTCTTTCCTAGTCTGTGTAGTCTGGAAGCTCTGCTGAGACCTGTCCACCATGGGTGACCCTGCTGGTATTTGAAATCCCGGTGGCATAGCTTTCAGCATCACAGCAGCACATAGCCGCCACAGTATGACAACCGAGAGGTGGGTGGTGTGGTTCCCTGCCTGGGAAATGAACCTGGGCGGCTGCTGTGAGAGCACAAAATCTTAACCACTAGACCACCAGGGCTGGCTTTTTTTAGCGATTGGAGATATGAAAACACGTGTATATGATGCAATGGTCCAGTAGAGATTGGAAAATTGCAGATTCAGGAAAAAGTAAATTCAGGAGCAAGGACTTTGAGAAGGTAAGAGGGGTGGGCACAGGTGGAGGGGTTGGTCTTTTTCTGGAAGTATGGACAATTTAACCACAGTAGCAGAGAGAAAGTCGGGGGTGGGGGTCCAGATGGAGGTGTGCTGGTGGTGGGAAGCCCCTGATTTGTTGCTTCCATTTTCTCATTGAAGAATGAGACATTGGCAGAGAAGATGGGGAGAAGGGTGTAAGTATTTTGGAGAGAGATGAGAAGGAATAGAACGGTCTCTCTGAGGAAGGGAGGGAGGGAGGAACACAAACAGGCTGGGCTAGTGGGGATTGCTGGGGAGCAGTCCACGCCTGTTAGACATGAGTGGACATGGATGTGCAGTGGGCTCAGTTCCCTCTGTTGTATGATTTTTCTATGACCATGCTCAGCAGCTTGGGTGCAAGTGGAGAGCAGAGCTGCTTGGGACCAGGCTTTGCTGGGAGGACACAAAAGAGGGAGGGAGGAGCCAGAAGTTGCTTGCAGTAAAGGACCTTGGAGTCTACGCTGGGTAAGAGAGGAAGCGAGGGAGTGAAGGGGGTGGTGGTGGGTGAGTGACAGTGAGAAAGGCTGGAGGGAACCAGCAGGCAGCATCAATGCGGCCATGAGCAGCGGCCCAGAGGCTCTGTCCAGCCTGAGTGGGGAGATGTTGCTCAGATGCCCCCGACCTCTGGCTTGGTGTCCAGTCTCTCTTGGCTCACTCAGGGGAGCCACATCTCTTCTGTACACTCCTCGGGAAAGTGCTTCACCTGGGCAGAAGGGATGGAGAAGTGACGTCTCCACTTGCCTACCAAAGACAGAAAAAGAAAACCCGCCAATCCTTTCTCTACAAGGCGGTGCAGTCTGGCGTCCACGTGTTTTTGGCAGATCTCCCTTCCCTAACTCTGTGAAACAGGGCAAGTGGTTCCCCGTTGAACAGGTGTGGTAAGTGAGGTCAGGAGAGGTGGGGCAGAACCTTTGGGCTTGGCTCTCACTCCTGTTCTCTTCCGTAAAGTGTGTTCACGTTGGTGTGGAAGCACCGTGAGCGCCTGCTGACCCTGAAAATGAACACCAGGGCCTCTTAGGAGGGGAGGGTGGGTGCAAAGAGGGGTGGAATCAGATTTCCCCTCAGGTGATTGAGTCTCATCCCTGGGCCCCACGGGCCTTCAGAGAACATGGAGCCCATGTCGCTGCCGCTAAGTTTCACTTGCGTTCTAATGCCGGACCTCAGAGGGTCTGCCCAGCCACCTCCTCTTCCTCTGTCTCTCCTGCTGCTGGCTCCTGGGGCTGGGGTCTAGAGCCACAGCATCCCTGGCTCACCTCCCTTGTCTGGCTGGCAGAGGGCTCCTGCCCTGTGGCCATTGGTAGCAGAGTGTGGGGTGGGCCCTGAAGGGGAGGTGGGCTAATGACGTGTGCCTGGAAAAAGAATCGCCCGGCCCCCTCCTCATCCCTTTCTGGTTCCCACCTCAAGGCCCCTCCCTCCCCTGCCCTGCTTCAGCCTCCTGTAATTGTCTTTATTCCTCTTCCCTTCCCTTCCTTTTCTCTTCTTTCTTTGAACCTTTGAAACATTCCAATTTACAGAAAAGGTACAAATATAGCTGTTTTTTTTCTTCTGAGCCATTTGAGAGTAAGTTGTTGACATGATGCCCCATCATCCCTGAATGCATTTCCTGCAAACAAGGACGTTTTCCTACATGACCACAATGCAACCATCAAAATCGGGAGATTAACGTTAATATGTTACCATCATCTAGCGCTCAGATCCTGGTCACATTTTGCCAGTTGTCGCAATAGCATCCTTCATAGCAAAAGGATTCAGTTCTGAACCACACATTGCATTTAGTTGTCACGTCTCTGGTTTCCCTCAAGCTGGAACAGTCAGACTTTCCTGGCCTTGACACTTGGAGACGACAGGCCACGTTCTGGAGGATGTCCCTCAGTGTGGGGATGTGCGATGCCTCCCCACACTTGGATTCGGGGTGCGCCTCCCGGCAGGAACGGCACAGGCGTTAGGCTGTGTTCCTCTCACTGCACGATCTCGGCTGGCACGCGGTTCTGATTTGTCCTGTTACTGACGAAGTTTATGGTGATCACTGATTAAGGTGATGTCTGCCAGGCTTCTCCTAGTAAATTGCTCTTCCCCCTGGTAATTAGTGAGGTTTTCTGGGAGAGGTAGTTTGAAACCACGTAAATATTTCATTCCTCCTCATTAATTTCCTATTTTATTCAATAGGTTGTATCTATTATTATCAGTACTGACTTTGATATGCAAATTGTCCCTAAGTTGGTCACTGGGAGCCCCTTCAAGCTGGCTTCTGTGTCCCTTTGATGCCTCCTTCACTTTTTGTGAGCTTTCTTATTTTGGCATACATGTTCCAGGTTTATCTTGTACTTTCCATGTCTCAGTTCTAGAATCAGCCATTTCTCCAGGGAATCTTGAATCCATTTAATGGACAATGGTGTGTAGGAACTAGGATCTCAGGCTAAGTATGCTTGTTGATTTTAGGGTGTTGGCACTGTTTCAGTGGAAAGAACTAGAGAACGTGTGTGTGTGTACATACACATTTACGTAACGTGTATTTCTGCATCTATCTGTACTGTCAAGTGTGAGTTCACACTGACACCTCCACCTCTAACCCCGCTCCAGGGGGTCTCCTCTAGTTTTTCCTCCTTTCCTGTGTTCGTGACTCCTTTCTCTGACAGTGAAAAACCTGGCTCCCATTATTCTGAGTATGTTTACTTATTGGATCAATCGCTCCTATGTAAACACTCTCCCATTGTCACCCCCTCCTGCCCCACTCAGACGCATTGGTGCCCCCATGCTGGGCTCTGACACCCTGTGCAGGGCAGCCTTCCGCATGGCTCCCTCCCTCCCTGCTCAGGCTCCAGCTGGCTGAGCTAGACGGCCTCCCGGGCAGAGGCCTTCCTCACCCCCCAGGACTTCGCTCTCCAACAGCTACCCTCCGCAGGGATGCTGGCTGACCCGCCCGGGCTTGCTGTGCGGTGCTGGGCCACCCTCACTCCGCTCAGGCTTAACACCCGCCCTGGACCGTTGGCCCTTCCCCGGCAGCATGGCAACGAGTTTGCTTGGCTTTAGGATGAAATCCTTCCTTGCTGTATATTTTGATGGTTCACACTTGATTCTGTGCAAAGGCTCAAGAGGGACAAACTACTGTCCCCAAGTGAAGAGCCACCCCCATGCCTCATAGCTGTTCCTACCCCTCACACACAGTGTGCTGCG